TGTGTGTTCATGAATGTGATGTTTGTTTGTTATTTGTAGGTGCAAGAGGAGATTTCAACAATGGATGTGTTGGAAATAACTGAGGCTGAGCATGTAGCTATGAGCTGGAAGACGTCTGCAGGAGGAATTCAAATGATCCCATTTTTAGCAACTAGTTTAATTTTGCCTCTGGTATATTGTGATCCATTAATTCTCCAAAGTGTTCCCAACAGTGCTGTGAACCCATGAGGCTCCAGCTCAGCAGTGCAGGGATCAAGGGAAGACAGACATGAGGAGAGAGACAGCCTCCTCCCACAGCTGCTAACCAGAGCTGTGTCAGAATGTGGCCAGTGGCCCAGTGAGTGGAGAGTGCCCATGAGTGAGTTAAGAAGACAGTGGGAAGCAGAGAGCTCAGAGGAGCAGCTTCAGAAGGACCAGGATGTGAGCTTTGCCTTCCCCCTGCTGGAGGCAGCTGAGTGGGAAGTGGGAGCCCACACAATGGTGAGGGGCCGATGGTCCTCTAGAACGTGGTGACAGAACTTGGCTGTTCACTCAAAATGAATGTTGTCGTGCCTTAAGTGTTTGCTCACATTGTCTGGTTTGCCCGAAACCGCTTTTGCATACAGAATCGCATGAAGTTATGTTTGCTGCAGAGTGTCTTAGGACAGAGTTCTCTCACAGCATGGTTCCTCTTCTCCTCTCCTTCCTAATTCTTTCCTTCCTCCTTTGAGTTCCTTTTTTATAGTATTTGCATATCGTGCTGAGTAGATTCAAACGCTACAATTCTTATTTTCTTGTTTTAAGATGTTGCATCTCTGTATGTGGCCCGAGTGATTCCGTGTTGTGGTTTCTCATTCTCATGTGGGATATCCCATCTGGAAATCTCTCTTCTTCTATATAATTGTGTGATATGACAATTTATCGCTGTGTTTGGTCCTCACATACCACGAGTTTTGGGCAGGAGACAAGGTACGTTTTCTGAGTGAGGCAGGTCTCTTCTGGATATGGCTTCAGAAATCACCTATGCAGAAGTGAAGTTCAAGAATGAATCCAACTCCTCAGGCACCTACTCAGATTCTGCCACAGGTAAAAAAAATTCTGGACTTAATGTTGGGGGGAGGATAAAGGAAGAGTCAATAATAAACTTTGGGTGAAATTGGTTACTAATC